TTTGTCTGGCAGAAGAAAACAAGATAGGGTGCAGTGGTGGAGTGATTCACCGGAGCTGATAAGTGATGTCTGTGTTTAACTTGTGCCGCTCAAACCGTAGCGTTACCTCCGGCTCTCGGGTTTTCAAGGACTGTCTCAGGTTGGTTTGTTTTAAACTGTCTGGGGTTGTTTGTCCTCTATAAGGGCTGGAGAGAAATGCAAATAATGGCTCCAATGGACCCATTTGTGTCAGGGCAGGGAGTTCGAAAACTTAAATAGTGAACAGCATCGTATATAGGATCACAGAGGGTTTTGTGTTGGGAGGGACCTTAAAGATTATCCAGTTCCAATAGTAGTAGTTCTTCTACTATCCCAGGTTGCTCCAAGCCATGCCCATCCTCACCTTGGACACTTGCAGGGATCCAGGGACAGCCACAGCTTCTCTGGGCAACCTGTGCCAGGGCATCACCACCCTTCCAGCCAGGAATTCCTTCCCAGTATCCCATCTAACCCTGCCCTCTGGCAGCGGGAAGCCACTCCCCTTGTTTTGTCACTCCAGGCCCTCCCAAGTCCCTCTCCAGCTCTCCTGGAGCCCCTTTAGGCACTGGAAGAGGCTGTCAGGTCTCCCCAGGGCCTTCAATTCTCCAGGCTGAACACCCCCAGCTCTCCCAGCCTGGCTCCAGAGCAGAGGGGCTCCATCTTTCGACACCATCACAAACAGGACTGTGAAGGAAAAAAAGGGATGATTAATCCCATGCCAGGGCTTGTCCTCTGTTATTAAGACTACTGTTTAAGATGCCTTAGAACAGTCCCTCTTTTCAAAAGAGGTTCACTGGAGTGTCACCAGCTGGGGAGCAAATGTCTTTCCAGGAGTAAGTTGGACACAACAGCAGCAAAGCAGAAGAAAATGGGTTTGTGCACTGCTGGTTCGATGTGCCACTTTGGGAATTTTGTTAACCATGATAGAAGCTCACCAGTGCTGGCTGGGAGATTGCTGGGAGTGCCCTGAGACTCCTGTGGCCTGGTTGTTTTACAGCTCTGCAGAAACATTCATTCAGTGTCACCTGCTGTCTGCAGCACATTCTAAGGCTCCTGATCACTCATTTGGAAGCAGTACATGCAGGAGACAAATGGCAGAGATGTGAATTGAACCATTCCTTGAACCCATTCAGAATCTTACAGCTTTTTGGCCTCAATAAAGCTTCTTATGTGGTTTCTAATTCTGGCTGTTACAAATAGCTTTAAAGTCAGTCTGATAAGAAAGAAACTTTTTTGAGGTGGCTTAAATTTGGTGGGTTTGTTTGTTAATAAATTCTGTTTTCAGTGAACACCCTTATAGTGAGACAATATGGGTAGTTTTTCATCTTAGTAGTGGATGACTGCCATGGTTAATCTTGCAAGGTAGATCACAAAATCACTAAGGCTGGAAAAGCCCTCTGAGATCAAGTTCAACCATTAACCCACCACCACTGTGTTCACCACTAAACCATATTCCCAAGTGCCACATCCACATCCCAAAGATGCTGGTGCAGTTCTCTCCATGCTGGGCCTCTAGGATTTCTCATTTTTAATGAATGAGAAACCATGGCCAGCACACAGCCAGGCACCACTGCAGCCATCTAAAGGAGGTGGGTTTGAATTGCTGACCTGCAATTCAAATTCTCTTTGTGTCATTAACAGTGCACTGAGCTGTCCTGGGCCCACTGTTCAGGTGGACCATCACAAATCCATCACTCCTGCCATTACCTACATTATTTTTATACAAACATTCAAAATTGTGTGTGTGTGATGGCAACGTGTATGATCTCTCTGCTTAAAAATCTCATTTTCCTTGTCTGCATTTCCAAGACACAGTGCAGACTGTTCAAGGCATGTGTTGAGTGTGAGAGAGTCCAGGCTGACTGCAGTGAGTTATAGCCTTTAATCTGAAATTGATTATTAAATTGCTGCAGTACGATTGCAATCGATGGCAACATTGATCAGCCTGAAAAAAGGCTTAATAATAAAATCAATGCATGGCTTATTGCCTGAAAATATGAATGCTATCTGATTTATTTTATGCTGCCCTTCCAGCTGAGAGATAATGGGATAGTAAGACCTGAGCATCTCAGATGGAGTTGTTGGAACTTCTAATACAATTTTACCTGCAGTTTTAAGGCTGGAGATGTTTGTTAGGCTTCGCAAGAGCCCAGAGTGCTCCCAGCCTACTGCCACGAGTGTTTGCAAAAGCAGTAGCTGTATCTGTGACCCTGGACATGAAAAAAAAAGTTATCTCTGTTTAATTCAACTGAAATTAGTATCTTTAATCACTTTTTTCCCCCCTTCCCTCCCAGAAGGACTACTCCAGGCTGCAGTCCTGGCGTGCAGCCGCCCCTGGGGTGAAGAGTGGCAGCTGTTTAAGGCTTTTCTCTGCCTTGAAACGTTGCCATGGTGTAACCATGAGGTTTAACCATTCATTCTGCTGATGCAGTGCTGAAGGGAATGTGCTGCTGTCAACACTGACCACAAGTCAGGATGTTTTGGAGGGAAGTGGGGAAGACTGCACCGAGGATAAGCAGAGTAGAATATCATGGGGTTTTTTTAAAAATAAATAGTAATGAAAATATACATGAGGGCTTGATTGGGGCAAGGTTTAACCTTTCAAAAGAATTGTAGTGTCCTGAGAGGAGGGGTAGGGTGGCAGAAGAGGAAGGCAAGAACAGTTTGAGAACTTGGAGATGTGGTGGGAAGGGATAGAGGATATTAATGAAAAGGAGGATCTCTCGAGGCTGATGAGAAAAAAGAAAACTTGCTTGGGCAAGTTTGAAATAGAAAGATACATTAAAGAGAGAGGATAAGGATGCAGTGGAAGGGAGTTGGGGTGGGAGTAGGATAGGAGGCAGGTAATGAGAGATGGGGGTGAGTATGGGTGCAGGGTGCCTGAGAGTGAGAAAATAAAGTGATGCAGAGCATTAAACAGGCTCATCAAAACAGACTTGGGGAAGAGAGGTGGTAGAAAGTGGGTTGGGTGCGCAAAAAGGCTGTCGTAGAGCTTCTCTACCACAAACTGCATGTCTGACACAGGAAATTAAACTTGCTGATGTACCTTTGAGGTTCTGAGCTTTGAACTCAACAGGAGTTAAGTGCAGAAGTGCCTTTAACAACTTGGTCTTTTATGTGCCTTAGTTCCTTGAACAGAGGTAGTGGTGTCCTCCTTCCCTCCCTGGTTGCTCTGAGGCTGAGCTCCCCACTCCTTCCAAAGTCATGAAGTACAATAATGACAGTCAAAATGGTTCCTCCCAGGCTCCACATTGTCATCCAGCTAAGTAGAGCTGTGATTGAGGGCCTGACCCCAAAATGAGCCAAACCACGGCAGCTCCAGAATGTGAGAGCACTTGGAAGGTGGCACTGGCACCCTCAGCGATGGAGGAGATGTCACATTGTCACCCAAGGCTGTGGTTGAGCCACGCTGGACAAGCTGTCCATGGAGACATGTAGGAGGTGGCACACTGTCACTTGAGAGGGTTGGAAGAAGCTGCCCATGGAGACATCCTCCTTGTAAAGCGCAGCACAGGTGGCACCTTTGTGTCTCGGTGTAATTGTGTGCTCAGCACTTGCACCAAGCTGCTCCAGTAGCAGCAGCAGCAGCAGCACAAGGAAGGAGTAGAAACATAGAGTCACAGAATCCTTGAGGTGGAAAAACCCTCCAAGATCATCGAGTCCAAATGTTACCCCAGCACTGGCAAGCCCACCACTAACCCACATCCCCAGGTGCCACATCTGCATGTTTTCTACAACTTTCTACAGATTCCCGTGTTTTCTGGCTCCAAGAATACAAATAACCTGAGTGCACAGAAGTTAAATACATAACCCTGAAAACCAAGAGGCCAAGAAAGGCTCCTTTAAAGGAGACTGATCAAGCCAGAAGTCCTGTACCCTAAGGCAAGGAAACAGGACACTGTGAGCTCAAGAAACAGGATAGGGAATCCCTTCATTATTAATGGGCAAAGAGGCTCCTTAGCCATTGCTGTGCTTGTTCTGATCATGTCACACCGTTGAGTTTATTCTTAGTCTTAGCCACAGCCTTATAAATAATAAAATGCATCGTGTTTTATCTTACCCCAGTGATCATTGCAATGCGGCTTTTGTCTGAGACTCTGCCAAGCTCAGGCACAGGCAACATTTAGAAGTGGATAAAGTGAAGAGCAGAGTACAAAAGTAGACTCAGCCCTTCCAAAAACACACCGAGAGTGAACACAGTGGGTTTTCAGTGTGTGCTGCTTTGGGGGGGGTGGAAATGAGAGAACTGGGAAATTGAGGTCACAGCATGTCTGTCTCTGCTCTCTGGTGAGAGACAGGACCCGAGGGAATGGCCTGAGCTGTGTCAGGGGAGGGTTGGGTTGGATTTCAGGAAAAGGTTCTTCCCCCAGAGGGTGGTGGGACACTGACCAGGCTCCCCAGGGCAGTGGGCACAGCCCCAAGGCTGTCAGAGCTCAGGGACAGGGTGGGATTGTTGGGGTGTCCTGTGCAGGGCCAGGGGTTGGACTTGATGATCCCGTGGGTCTGTTCCAGCTCAGGATATTCTATGATATCACAGGCTGTATTTATTCTTACAGCCTTTCCAAAGGATTCTCCTGCTAAAGAGCCAAGTAAAATTAATAGCAAAATGCTTTCTAGGGAAAACTGCAATAAACAGGTCTGTACGTGCAAAAGCAAGAAGGCCTTTGTGAAGCTGCTGAAAATGACAGTTTTCCTTAGGACCTTTGTGTTTTGTAAAGGATTCACGTGTTCAGTCTGTTAACATGCAAATGGATTGTGACCAACGGTAAAGGAGTTGAATACAATATGCTAATGTAGCACTCATTCAAAGAAGAAATTATAAATGATCTCTTTATCCTGTAAATATTTTACTTTGGGTCTAATGGTTTAGTTCCTCCCATTATTTTGTTGACCAGACCTCTTTCTTCAGTGTTTACGTGGGCTGTGTGTTTGCAAACAGACATGCAAACCTCCCCTCACTGGACTTTGGTTTCTTGTTGCAGAAGTTCCCCGAGCTGAAGTTCAAGTATGTGGAGGAGGAGCAGCCTGAGGAGTTCTTCATCCCCTACGTGTGGTCCCTGGTCTACAACTCTGCCGTGGCCCTGTACTGGAACCCCCACGACATCCAGCTCTTCACCATGGACTCTGGCTGAAGGACACCCAGCCCAACCCAACCCAACTCTTGTCTTCTTACAGAAAACGAACCTCTGCACCGCGTGTTGATGCGTGACCCCTTCCAACGTGCACCCTCTGACCCCAAAGCTTACAGAGAATGAAGTTGCCACCACTGTACAGCCCATTTTTGGAAGCAGATTGCCGCCGACACGCTGGTGACAGGCTGTGGTGTGAGGGACTTGTAGGCAACCCTGTATTTATAACCATAACCTAGAGCTTGTTTGATGAAAATGAGGCCTTACACATGGGGTGTGATGTTACTACCAACCACAAACCTGATTTTTCTTTTAACTTAACGGGGGTAAATGAGGAAAGGGGCTTTGGTTTGGAAGCAGCGTTTGTGTTTTTGTTTCTTTCAGGCGAGGCAGCTTCGTCGGGTCAAGCTTTTTATGGTCTGTTGGATTCTGCCGTGGGTTGATTGTTGCTTAATCCCATGTTTTCACTCACAGCCCTCCGTTTCCGTGGCACTGTCAGGGCTTCAGTCCTGAAATTGGTGTCTACACTGTCATCCAAGGGAACTAAGCAAGCAGCATCTTAATCAGATTAGCTCCCAGGCAGATTCAAAACACTTGATTTAGATGTTTGTGGGAGGATTTTCAATAGCAAGTCTTTTTTGTTGTTGTTGTTTTTTTGACTGGCAAATACTCTACATAGGGCTAGAAACACCAGCTTTCGGGGTCAAGTCCCTTACAGACTTGTTTTTCTGTGCTCCTGTACAAAAGTTGTTCCTGGAAATTGAAGGTGTAGGGAAGGGGGGGTTGGAAAAAGTCCAAAGAAAATAATTATAAGATTGTAAAGTAGACCAGTGTCCTGTAATGTGTGTAATGGTGACAGTGTGTCCTGGGGATCCTCGACGAAGCTCTGTGTTGAAACCCCCCTTTTTGGTATTGAAGGTTTTATGGCAGAAGTATAAATTTATCTGAATGTAGAGTACTTCTCTTTCTTTCTGTCGTTGTTTTCAAGTGCCCTTTCCTGATACACCTGTTTCAGCAGTGGGAAAAGCAGAAGAAATGTGGTGTGATTCTGAAAGAACATCTCATGTATCAAAGTGGGGATATTTTTTTGGGAGAGACTCCCAACGATGCCCGTTGCACACACGTGCACACACTCTCCTCATCCCACGTGCTGCTGTGTGGGGGGACTGTCACCAGTGCATTGCATGCCAAAACTTCCAATTTCAAGGAATCAGTTCCTAAACATATGTGGCAACCCTCTGTATTCACTGCCTGCTCCAGCATGTTCTGTTTGTTGACCTGAGGAATCAGGTGCATTTGCTTTCAGACAGTCCTTCAAGTGGCTTTAAATAGAATTTCTTGCACTGTTTGGTCCCCCTAAAGGATGTGCTAAGATTGTACTTTCCTTTTATCTGCTTATTTAGAGGTGGAAGTCCATTTGAGTCCTACACAAATGGAATTGCTGGCTTAAAAAAAAAAAAAAGCTTTCCAGATTTATTAAAATATAGCTACAAAGGGATATATATATATATATATCTACAGCCCTGGAGCATTTAGGACTTTAAAATGGCAGAAGCTTTTGAGAAAAGGCAATGTTAAGACTGGGGATGCAGTGTTCTTAGGCAAATAGGAGAAATGAATGAACCATGACTGAGCTGCACATAAGTTGATGCTGTGTTTTTGAACTTACTCTGTTTTGTTTTGTTCTTTGAGCAAACGTCAAAAGGGGATGACTTTTCTTACTTACTGTAGTGATTCGTAATTTTGTCTTTATTAAAAGACTAAGAGTGTTTGTGAGTCAGCAGGGCTGCCCAGCTTTGGAGAGGTCAGTCTGAAGATGCACTTTTAAACTGGGGATTCTGAAGCTCCTGGGATGGCTCAGTGTTCATCTGTTTTTAAGCAGAACTCGAACCTGCCCAAGGGGAGCACCCTCCACCCCTGGGGCGAGAGAGGCCTCACCAGAGCAGACAACTCAGCCAGGTGCCAGACTGCAGAGAGCCTGATTTGTTCTGTGAGAGGGCTTTTTACACAGAGAAGGGTACATAAAGCAGCAGTCTGACAGAATAGGTCAAACCAGCTGCTGAACCAGCGTGGGAGTCGCGCAGCGAATTGTCTCTCGCTGTCCTCTCGTTGTGGGGACACTGAAGTACAGAAGGAACAGGTTTGTTCCAATGGCATAATTTCCTTGTGTGTTTAATAATATGCTGTGCTCCCAGGTCCCAGCTGGTTTGGAACAGCTGGAGTTACCATCTAAAGCTGGAACAGAGGAGCCAGACCAAGATTTACACTAAAATCCGTTGGCTCTTCCAAGAGTTGGAGCGTGATGTGGGTCTGGCAGTGCCCTGATGTCTGCACTCTGGTACGGTCACAAATACTCTTGTTTTCCTTCACCTTAGGGATCCTTTTCATTACTTTGTGTGAAAGATTTATTATGCATAATAAAAAAAAAATAAAACATTACATGCATGGTGTTGTTCTGTTTTCTGTGATAGCTGCCGTGGGACGAGTCTTGGGGTGGTCATCAGGCCTAACGTGCACAAGGCTTTATAACATCCTCCAGGATGTGCAGTAAGAAGGATGTTATTTTATTTATGGTATAAAGTAAATAATTGTTTAAATCAATGCTTGGTGAAAGAAGGGAAGTGTCATATGGAATCCCACCTCCTGACAACTCAACCTCGACGGTCGTGGGGGGAAACAGAGAAGGGACTGGATTGTCCACACCAGGCCAGATGTGATGTGTTGCTGCACCTTCAGCTTCTCTTTCCTGTTGTTGTGGCCACACCATGTAAGCCAATGTTGTGTCTCTGTTTTTTGGGGGGACAGGATGAATGTGTCACAGGGGCCTTCACCTGACCACGCTCATATTTGGGGTGATCTAACTGTGGCCTTGCAGTGCCTGAAGAGAGCCAACAAAAAACGATGGAGAGGGGCTTTGGGGAGGCCTGGAGTGACAGGACAAGGGGGAATGGCTTCCCACTGCCAGAGGGCAGGGTTAGATGGGATATTGGGAAGGAATTGCTGGCTCTGAGGGTGGTGAGGCCCTGGCACAGGTTGCCCAGAGAAGCTGTGGCTCCCCCTGGATCCCTGGAAGTGTCCAAGGTCAGGTTGGACAGGGTTTGGAGCAACTTGGTCTAGTGGAAGGTATCCCTGCCCATGGCAGGAGGTGGAACAAGATGGTCTTTAAGGTCCTTTCCAACCCAAACTCCTTCTGGGATTCTATTCTGTTCTTGCTCTGAGTGCTGGTCACCAGTGAAACCACCTGCTTGGGCTCCTTGAGTAGCTCTGGAGAGGGAAATCCATCACTTCAGGGGTGGGGAGGAGAAGAGAGGTCAGTTCTCAGAAGACCATCCCTTCCAGAAGACCAAGCTTTGGGGAGAACAGGCAGGAAACCCAGTTGCTCTCTGTTGTGGGTTGTGCCTGTGGAACCTGATGCACATATCCCTGGTGAGGGAGAAATTCTCCTTCCTCAGAGTGAAACTCTGATCTCACTCTGAAAGTGAGGTGGTGGGTGGAAAGCTATGAATGAGCTGGGAATCGCTCACTTTGGAAGGTTTTTGGGCTGCCTTTGCCAGGTGTCCTGGCTTTTCTTGACCCTACTAGCCTAAAACCGAAGAGTATTAGGCAAGTTACGGGAAAAAAAAACCCCAAACCCCTGTGTCCCTCTAGATTGTTGATCTACCAGTTAAACAGGAAAGGAAGAAGCAAACAACCCCCCTCCCTTCTTTGGAAACTCTAAAGCTTTTTGTACAACCTTTTCTACTGGTTTCATTCTCGTGTAAGTTGTCTAATTCAGCCAACTAAAGGTCAAATGCCATCTTACATTTAGTCAACCCCGGGGTCTCTCCTGATGGATTGGGCTCAGTGTGTGTAAATCTCAGTGTGTGTAAATCCTGGAAGAGCAGGAGTTTTCTATACAATTGCACTTCCAGAATCACCTGACCCCTGTAAATCCTTTCCCATTTCTTCCCATTAGCAGGACTTTGGCCACCTCACCTAAAAATAGGTACCACTGGTACCAGTAATGCCATAAAATTCAGGGTCGCAGCTGGTTTTGTGTTTGGTTTGCTCTGAATTTGGGGATTTTGGGGGGAGTTATTATAATATTTATTATCTGTTATTATAACAGACTCAACTAACTCACAACTAGCAGTTTAAGGTAACAGCTGCACGTCTGATGGCAACACACAACAGCCTCATCCTGAGCACCTGGAGGGTGAAGCATCAGCTCCTGGACACCTTCTGGCAGCAGCTCTGGTGGCTGTGGGCTCTCAATATGCTGCAGATATTCCCTTGAGACTGACTTCTGTGGGGAATGATGTGCTGGGTGTCACAAGGTTGGTTGTCTGGGTTAGGATGGAGGTGGCTGGGTATTATTTGGGGCTTGGCTAGAAGGCAGAACCTGAACTCCGAGAATTATTCATTCATGGTCATTCACGGGTCATTCATGACATCCAGATGTGTGTGAAGGGCTCAGGGAAAGGGTCATGCACGCAGGGAGTTTGCCTGGGTTTTTTTTTTCCCTTTCAGGAAAGGATCCTGTTGGCAGGACATCCCCGGGCTGTGACATCACCAGACAAGTGCTCCGGGGCCATCCTTCTTCTGCATGAGACACCAACACACGTCACCAGCATCGCCCATGGCGCTGATAACAGTTCTGCTGAAGGGAGATAATGGTGTTTCAAAGACAAAAGGGCAACTGTTACAACCTCCACTGACCTGGACAGCAGAGCTGCACTTCCTGCTGTGACTTTGGGAACAGCGACTCATCGGGAGCAGGGCAGGGAGGTGCTGTGGGCTGCGGGCATGAGGATTTAAGGTAATCATAGAATGGTTTGGGTTGGAAGGGACCTTAAAGATCTGAGGGCTGGAGCCCCTCTGCTCTGGAGCCAGGCTGGGACAGCTGGAGGTGTTCAGCCTGGAGAAGAGAAGGATCCAGGGAGAACTTAGAACCCCTTCCAGTGCCTAAAGGGGCTCCAGGAGAGCTGGAGAGGGACTTGGGACAAGGGATGGAGGGACAGGACAAGGGGGGATGGCTTCCCACAGCCAGAGGGCAGAGTTAGGTGGGATATTGGGAAGGAATTGCTGTCTGTGAGGGTGGTGAGGTCCTGGCACAGGTTGATGGGGAAGTTGATGGGGCCATGGAAATGGCTGCAGGCTTGCATGAGCTGGGATCTCAAAAGCAGCAACCCATGAGCTACAACTCTCCTTTGCATGTCACTGACTACGGATTTTGGCACCCCTTCAGTGGGAATACCGGGGACTGCTCTGGAGTGACAGCGCCGTAAATGCTTTTGCTCTCGGAGGGTAGTTAACCCCAAACTGCAGGGCTCCAGCTGAGATTACAGCTTGTAAGCATTTAATCATAGATGCTGGTTATTGCTGGGTGGATGCATTTCGGATGTTACAGGCTGTGCTGCCTGTTTGTAAATGAGTTGCTCCAAGTGGCCATGTTTAATATTGAAGGGGCTGCTACCACCCATGGGCTGTGCCAGCAACTTACACGAGCTCGGATAAATGGAAGTGTCACTACTGGTGAATCCCTCCAAATCACGAATCAAATGCACCCCAGAGCTGCCAAACTGGGAGAATTTGAATGAGAGGTTTAAAGAAGAGAGAGGTTGGTGTTTTGGTTTTTTTTTAATTTTATTTTTTTTTTTAATCCTGCTGAAGCACACGGCACAATTCCTTCATCATCACTTTAAAAACTGTCTTAAAATTAATCCAAAATGACTATGTCTTGGCAGACGTGATGAAATGTTCAGCTGTACATAATGCTTTTGCCAGATGTCTTGGCAAACTAAATGGCAGACTTCAGTCCTCCTTACAGTCACTTTGTGCTGCTGAAAGCCCTGAATCTGATGGCACTGGGAGAAAATTGGAGGCCTTTGAGGATCTGGAGAGGAGCAGTGACAAAGTAGGTGACGTCCTCGATGATGCTGCCCCGGCCCCTCCTCCTGTTTATGAAATGATGAAACAAATGCTTTTCAAAGAGCAAAACAGCTTATTAAAAACTGGCAATTTAAACTAGGAACAGCTGTCCTCGCCCTGCTGCTTCTATTTTTGTCCCTGAAGCCGTTGTCAGGGTCCATCCCTTCTCCCAGCACAGCTCCTGCATCCCAGTCTGCAGTGCCCCCTCCTTCCATGAATCCTGCTGGGTGTGGGTGCTCGGGGCACAGCAGACCTGGGGTGCTCAACCCCACCAGAGCTGTCTGTCACTATTTAAGGACTGTATCAACTAGGGGATAATGGGAATAAACCATACAGGGGCAAAACCGTACCTGGAAATCTAAAACCTCTCCCAAAACAGATGCTTGAGGACCTAAAATTGTGGGGTTTTTCCCAAAACAGCCTTGTGTGTAGTTTTGTTGCTCCTGCTGCTTCCTACAGGGGGAAAGCCCACTGTCATTCCTGGATGTGGGATATTCACTATCCAGTATTTACCTGTCTGGGCTTCAGATTAAGTGTTCTGCTTAGTACCTTGTGTCTTGTCTGTGTCCCTGCAGTGCTGAGCTGTGGAGTAGAGAAGCACCAGAGCCACTTTCACCCTGGAATGCAGCTCTTTATGATGGCTCCAGAAAAAACCCCTCACCCTCTTCCCCCCCCAAAAAAAACCCCCAGCTGTGGCGTCTCCTGTCTTGCAAGTTTCTCCCAACTGAAATACGAAGTGAAAATTAAATTTAAATTCTTTTCTTTCTCTTAAATCAAATCTCACAGGCGCCAATTGCCCTTTAAAAGGTCAAGCTTTTAGCACACAAAATTGTAATCGATACATTATTGACCTAAACAATAGCCATAAACTTCAGGCTCCCTTTTTTTCAACGCTTGGCTTCTCCTCCTTCCTGATAGAGCACGTTTGGGCCAGGGAAGTGGGAGCTCCTGATGAAGGTGAGATGGAGAGAGCTCATAAAATCGCACATCCACAACAGGGCCAGAGGAATCATTCCTTTCTTCCTTCCTTCCTTCCTTCCTTTCTTCCTTCCTTCCTTTCTTTCTTTCTTCCTTCCTTCCTTTCTTTCTTCCTTCCTGCCTTCCTTGCTTCCCTCCTTCCTTCTATCCTTCCTTCCTTCCCTCCTTCTCTCCTTCTTTCCCTCCTTCCTTCCTTTCTTCCTTCCTTTCTTCCTTCCTTCCTTTCTTCCTTTCTACCTTCCTTCCTTCCCTCCTTCCTTCTGTCCTTCCTTCCTTCCCTCCTTCTCTCCTTTCCCTCCTTCCTTCCTTTCTCCCCTCCCTTCCTTCCCTCCTTCCAGCTTCCCCACTGGTGTGTACTGGGGGCAGATGGCAGAGGCCATTCTCGATTATTTTGGGGAAGAAACAGCCATTTTCAGTCGATACCTTCGTGCTTGTTGTCAGTGACTGTGCAGCCAAATGAAAGTCCATTGAGTACCCAGATGAGCAGTGCTAGAGAGCAAGCCAGAAGCCGCGGTGCTGACCCAAAGAGTGAATAATTAGC